AAATTTACTTCTTCACTCCTTCAACTACCATAGATGAAACTGGGTCTGTATGCCTCTGGGTTGATCAAAAACCAAAATATTTATCATTCCCATGACAATTACATGTTTCCATGACGACTGCATTTTGTTTGAAAAGCCTCAGGCAATTTTCTTTCCTTCACTGCTCAAACTTGCTAATTGTAGCACGCATGGAAGTGAAACATGGTGCGCATGTGTATTGCATCATTTCCATGACAACCACAACAACAAAGAGCCTCAGGCACTTTTCTTTAAAATTACTTCTTCCACTCCTCAAACTCGCTAACGGTACCACACATGAAGATGGAACTTGGTACGCATGTGTGTAACATCGTTTCCATGACGACCACAACAACAAATAGCCTCAGGCACTTTTCTTTAAAACTACTTCTTCACTCCTCAAACTTGCTAACTGTAGCACGCATGGAGGTGAAACATTGTATGCATACAATTTGCATGACGACAACAAGCATAATTTTTATAGGGGCTTGCCCCCTTCCAGAGATAATACGTAGTAGTATATAAAAATGAGTGGAGACAAGTAAATAAAAAATCCTGCGAATTTTTAAAAAGAGGCATATAGGGATGGTATAAAAAGAAAGGGAGACAAGATAGGGATGAGATACATGAAGAATGGTTAATGAGTATGCTGACACCCCCAACCCCATCACACAATCCCTATATTGTTGCCTAGGTGACGTATTAAACGTTCACCATTAGAACTTACAATACACTACTGAGTAACCAACACCCTTATAGAGTCCAAGTGGAGTTTAAAAGGCAATTGGGGCGTATAAATGTTACTAAAAACAACAGGGTGAAAGAATGTTTTCTTTTAGTAACCTTTAGCCCTTATAAGAGTAGCACACCAGGCAACAATATAGGGATTGTGTGATGGGGTTGGGGGTGTCAGCATACTCAAATCTGTTCATTAACCATGCTTCATGTATCCCATCCCTATCTTGTCTCCCTTTCGTTTTATACCATCCCCTATACGCCTCTTTTTTAAAATTCGCAGGATTTTTTATTTACTTGTCTATACTAGTAAGCGAGCTGTGCATTTTCAGCGAGCAGAAGCGAGCCAACTGGGGATCTGTTCCAGACGTGGAAAGGTGAATGGGAAAAAGGCGTGTGTCTCTCTCTCTTCAGCCGAGTCATCGCTCCTGGGTCACCTCGCTTTTATAAGTGTGACAATTCCTCACTCTCTCATTGGATCTCGCTAGGCATTGCTCCCGAGCTTCCTTGCTTTCTAAAGCACGATGGGATTCGTAGTAGAGCTTGATCCCTGGCCGGCAGGAGTTGGCGACTCAGGATCCATCACGGAGAGATGGACAACAACAAAATCAATGGTAGCAAACGTAGTCTTGTACCCAGCCGCTCCACCCACAAGGGGAAAGGAGGATCTGGTTAGTTTTTGACACACAACCTTGTCCAAAAGACGTCATATCCGTAGTATCTCTTTTTTAATATGCTATGCATATGGGGCCCCTCCTACCAAAGTCCGCAGACTACGGATGCACATGATGTTGCCCGAGATCTGATTGGAGATCTCGTTTTTGAGATGTGCGTGCGAAACAATGTACATACAATTAGGTGGTGTAGAACGTTAAAATGGTATGTACGACATACGTACAATGCCCATATGGAAAAGTTTCTCCTTGCAACTAACTACTAGATTGGCTCGCTTCTAGTTGCCAATCAGAAATGCCCCATAATTATCTGGAAATCTTTGCCGGACATAATTTCGAATACACATAAATGTGCACCATCTCTTTTACATATTCCGCAAGTACTTTATGAGGTTGCTGCAAACTATTGCCAATCGAACATTAAGAGGTAATGTATAGAAGTACATGTATAAACACCATGATGCAGTATTGTAGATACACCACAGTTGACCTAACCTCATGTAGAGTGGCAAGCCCTTTGATAGTGCATACTGGAAGGAGCTGTCGGCAAAGTCACGGATGCTCTGGAGACAATGGCACATACATGTCAAATGACAAACAATTGTGAATTAGGAACATACATAGTACACTGTGCAATGGACGCAGCCAAAGGCACATATATACACTGTGAGGTAAAATTTTTCAGTAGGAGAAATCATACTCATAATATGTTATAGGCTCTCAGAATACAACCTTTATGGCGCACATAGTATTGTTGTAGTAGCGGCGGTTTTACGGCGAACTACGTAATTTACCGATTCCCGTTCCCCCCCGTATTCTAGTACCTCTGTCTATCGTCTATAGTCTGCGCAAGTTTTACACACTAACTCCGTTCCGTTCCGTAGTTATGGCCCTGGGTATCAGGCAAGTACTGTTACTCGTGCCGTCGTTACGCAGAATTACAAGGGAAACGTAACACGGGAACAATCAAACCTTTTACGGAGTCACGTAAACGGGAATTCCCCTTTAGTACAGTTACCTTAGTAGCGCATCAATGAATGTGGATGCACGTGCGTGCATAATGTTGTAACATGGACTTGTTACAAGAATACGGAGGTTGAAATTTAACACCGGAAGTTCAACTTCTGCACTTGTGCTCATAACTTCGCAACGGAACGGGCTACGCCCCTGAAACAAACGGCAAATTATAGAGCATTTATAGGACTTTTAGTCTATTGCACAAATATATTTTGCGAATTTGCGCCATAAGGGTCGTTTTCTCAGAGCCTGTCATTATGTATGTGAAGGTAATATTTTTCTGTGGGAGAAATACCAAATGTATGCATGTGACCATGCATGCATTACAAAGGACACATGCTTTTTGTACACGATGGCAAAACTTTCGAGCGCATACCACACTCCATTTGTGAGATATGCATGCAGTGTCACATGGGCCAAAGGATTTAGGTCATAAGTGTGCTAAAAATTGTATGTGATTATACACAACCACAACTTTGTTTCTATTTCCATCCCGGGATACATGATGTGACAGTGCACGTGGAAATGTAGCAAATCAGCAGAGGGATAACCGGGTCCGGGGTATTTCATTGAAAATTTGGCGTGGATGGCCTGTTCTTGAGATATACTAGCTGTTTTTGTAGATGGCCTATGGAAACCATAAAATGCCAAAATAGCAATTTCTCCTATGCCTATTTGGCGTAGAGCAACTTTTCTGGATATGCACTCCGTGACATGCAACCCGCTGACACAACCCACAGATGTATTCACTAGGTGTTTGTTGGCCTACGAAGCTTTTCAAAAAGTATATACACAGCGAACGTAGCAGGTAAGCTTCCTTCTTAATTAACCCTCGGGGCGCATGCGCAGCGAGAGTTACAGTAGTTGGGTCTGTCCGTCCGTCCGTCCGTGTGTCTGTCTGTTATTCTACATCTCACCTCTCGAATGTCTGTTTGTCCCAGAAACGATACCATTTACCCAACGGGCGACGAAGGTCAGAAAATATGTGGGGTTTTCTCTGAAAATGCTCCGTTGCAGAGCTAGATCACGAAAAAGCCAATATGCAAATACGCAACGGACGGGAAGGCTTACCGCAGTCTGACTGATCCGCGTGCTCTGCGTACCTCGGAGGCACCAGAAGATGCAACGCAGGAGGGCGTGTATCACCTCTCGCATGCTATCTAGGAGTGTAGTTAGCCCACGTCAGACTGCGCGAGCTGGCAAGAGACCACGAGTAACAGCTAAAACTAAACCTAGCCCATCGATTAGTGATACAGCGCATGCGTTTACTCACGCGTGCGCGTCACAATGCGCCGAGGTTTGCACTTCAGTACTTTTCAGTGGCTAGGTAACAGTATGAAAACGGTTCCCAAATTTGATCCATACAATACCGTTTTGTTCAACAAAAAAGTGACCATAACCACTGAAACGGGAGTGCAGCATTAATGGTGCTCTGTATCATTGGCATACCTCTCCATTCCAATTTCGTTTTGTTCGGTACAACACAGTGGAGGTGCCCGTGCTTTTTTCGTCGAAGAAAGTCAGCCTCTCTTTCATACTTTTCGTATCTCTTACATAATTAACCCTCAGCGCGCATGCGCAGCGAGGGTTGCTGTAGTTGTCGTGTGTGTGTGTGTGTGTCTGTCTGTCTGTTACTTGACATCTCACTTCACGAGCCATGAATCGTTACACAAACAATACCATGTATTCAGCGTAGGGTATAGGTCGAAAAAAATTGTGGGGTTTTCTCTGAAACTGCTGTGTTAGAGAGTTATGGCATGAAACACGAACGAAAAAGCCACTAGAACAGCCTTCCTCGAGTTGGTCAGCTTGGTGAAGGCAAGTCACAACGAAGGGCGTGTATCAACGACCGCATGCTATCTAGTGTAGCTAGCCTGTGTCAGACTCTCCACGAGCTACTAGCGGGAGACCACGAGTAAACGAATACTAATAGCCCAACCCACAATTAGTGGTATTGTGTATGCGCAGTTCGCCGAGGGTTTGCACTTCAGTGCTTTTTAATGTGTCAGTCTCTTACTCGACATCTCACTCCTCGAGCCATCAATCGCTCCACAAAAAATACCACGTATTCAGTGTAAGATAGAGGTCGAAAAATATGTGGTGTTTTCTCTGAAACTACTGCGTTCGTGAGTTATAACGTGAAACACGAGCGAAAAAAAAGCCAATTAGAACAGGCTTACCTCGAGCGGGTCTGCTTGCTCTGTGCATCTTGAAAGCACAACAAGTCACAAAGAAGGGCGCGTATCGACTCACGCATGCTATCCACTGCTGTTGCTGGCCTGCGTCAGACTCTCCACGAGCTACTAGCGGGAGACCATGAGTAAACATATACTAATAGCCCAGCCCATTAATTAGCGGTACCACCCATGAGCAGTTTGTCATGTTATCAATTCATGTATGTTTTGGTCCAGCTACAGTGCACCAGTTGACTCGTGCAGAGATATATAGTCCCTTTGTGTATGTGTGAACTTCATATTCATGTGTACAAGTCCACCTCCTTTCTTCTTTCTTTATGTGAAAGCGGTAGCTGTTCAATTTACAGCACTGGATTACATAGGCGTAAAGTGTATAATACCTTATCAGTGTTGAACATTCCAAGAGTCACTCCGCCACCATCTTCAAACTCATGCACAGTGAAGGACTGCTTCTCTCCACCTCCACTTGGTGTGTACACCAACTCCACCTTCCCAGGTCCAGGCACAACAATGTCTGTTGCTTTGTACTACACAGGTTCAGAGCAAATTAATAAAGTTGACGCAAAAACACCCGCTCTGAATGCAGCCTATACGCAATGGATGCATACCATGCGCTACCAATGCACAATTCTAATTGATATAGGTGACGGACTGGGCAATGTGACGTGGTTGCAATCTCTTTACTATAACACCAGGCTAGTAGCATATCAGCGGATAGCATTTTAAGCAACACTCGACTTGATACTTGTCCTCTAAGAAGAAAGTGTTTTAAGGCTACAAAGCCAATATTTAACATTATATAGGTAGTAGACAAACAAACAGCTTAGCGCCCGTAGTTTGGGCTCTCTAGCAGTATCTCTAGCTACATGTTGTATAAAACCTTAGCCATGCTATCAACAACAAGTATTCGGTAATGTCATAATGATCGTGTGTGAGTAGAAAAATTACACTTCTGGATTAAGGTGAATGCGCATATAGACTTTAGCCTCTGAACCGTAAAAAAGATATGCCTCAAAAAGATATAGATACACACCTGATCTCCGTATGCGTGACGGCCTATGATGATGGATTTCTTCCATGAAGGAACAAGGCGGGGAATGTTGGAGCAGATGATAGCCTCGCGGAATACAGTACCACCTAAGATGTTCCGTATCGTTCCGTTTGGACTTTTCCACATCTTCTTCAGCTTGAACTCTAAATCCAGAAAAATTGCTTTAGACAACAATTGCCAAGCAAAGCAAGCCCTCCTAGTCGTCTCATGTGGAACTTTTCTATATGCACGCACGTATACATAATGTATACGGCACTGCCCCATACTGTAATGTACATATTATATGTGATTCTATACATGCACGTAAAGTGCATGAAAATCTGCTCGCTTCGCTTGCCAAAACTGTGTTCATTCCTCTGATACTTTACTGTTTTGATATCACATGGCCTAGTACAACCTTATAACCAATACACTTTACTGTTACAAAATACCTTCGACTCTCTGCTCATCTGGTGTGATAGTCGCACATTTGATTCCAACATTGTACTTGCTAATTGCTTCTGCACAGTCCACAGTTACTGTAGAAATTATAAGTGCAAACATTGCAGTTGTTAGCGTTGATTTTTAAAAACTGCACAATACACATGTGCAAAAAGCACTGCTAATCGATGGACTGTGTCACAGCACATGCAGTCGATCCCATGCACAGACCTAGTTTCTTGTTCTAGCTGGATCGGTAGGAGCAGTGCTGGAATGGATGCTCCCCAATTAGCTTCACCCCCCAACATTGTGCTGAACAAGGGGTAGGCCTGAGCTTGGCTTTTTCACTTGTTTCAACACAATAACTCTTGAACTCTTGATGTAGTCATTTTTATGCTTTCATATCTCTGAAACTACCAATATTGCTACAGGTTGGTTGGTTGCCTGTAGAGGCGGTATATGTGTAGAGACGACAGATAGACAGACAGACAGACCAAGTATGTAATGTAATGCATGCCAAGGTTTAACAAAATTCCATTAAGCATGGCGAAACGAAAGCTACACAACATCATAATCATACATCCATTACTTTCCCCATGATTGTTAGGTATAGCAAGAGCCAAAAATTATGTAGTTCAGCCTTGCTGCTGTCGAGACATATATACATGCCTACCTACATATATATGCAGAGCACTGATGCTTGTTTGTACATACATAGGACATAACAAAAAATGAAAAGCACTGAAGTGCAAACCCTCGGCGCACTGTGACGCGCCCGCGTAAGTAAACGCATGCGCAGTACCACTAATTGAAGGGCTGGGTTTAGTTTTAGCTGTTACTCGTGGTCTCTTGCCAGCTCGCGCAGAGTCTGACGCGGGCTAACTACACTACTAGATAGCATGCGAGAGGCGATACACGCCCTGCATTGCATCTTCTGGTGCCTCCAAGGTACGCAGAGCACGCGGATCGATCATGCCGTAGTAAGCCGTTGTGTATTTGCATATTGGCTTTTTCGCGCTCTAGCTTTGCAACGGAGCGTTTTCAGAGAAAACCGCACATAATTTCTGACCTTCGTTGCCCGTTCAGTAGGTGGTATCCTTTGTGAGACGAAAGAACACTCGAGAAGTGAGATGAAGAGTAACAGACAGACAGACACACAGACCCAACTACCGTAACCCTCGCTGCGCATGCGCGCCGAGGGTTAACAATGGCGATCATAATTTGAGAATATACTTCCAATTTAGCAACACATGTGACCATCAAGACTGACTGCCCTGTTGTTCTAAAACGAACAGCAGGCATGTGACCCGCTCTGGGAAAAGGTACCACTTGGCGCAAAAATTCAAAATTGCGTTATGCATATCGTTCGAAAGCGCAACACAAGCTGCTTACAACTAAGAAAATCGCACCTTCGTGGCTGCTTCTATTCGACCGCTATACGCAATAACGCGCGCACCCTGCCGCGGGCGTTATTTCGAATAATTGTGTGCGGAGGCAACGCCCACAACTACGAGGGGACGTTGCTAGCTCTACAAGCGGTAGATCGACTTCGTTCCAACGCGAAAAGGTAGACGCTCGGTTATTAGGTGAGCGGAAGCAAGCTAACCTAGTGGTCCGAACGGCGTTATTTTTCTATTACATATAATTTTATGTCACGGTACGTTGTCGAGCGTCGCCGAACTGCACATGTCACCGTACGTCGTCGGTACACGGCTGTTCCGTGTCCTACACGCGCGTG